AATATGTTTTTGTTCCGAATTAATTCAAAAATCAAAACAAATTTTAATCTTTGACCAATAGTCCTTGTTTTTCTCTTAATAATTAAATTGTCGAACATGATCGTAATAAAAACTTAATACTTACTTTAAAATAAATTTATAAATATTGTTCACGTTCTCGTAATACAAAGTTCCCTCTCTCATTCTCGAACACAATATTCCATATCGCAACAGGAAAAGTATGCCAACAAACCGTGATAATGGAAACGCTAGGACCTTAATTTGCAGAAGGTTGCTTGCAGAATAACAAGCAACTGAGGCCTATACAAATTGATAATATTCCTTTACAATAAATTCTTCTATAAAACAAGAGAAATTATGCGTTTAATTATTCGATTTTATGCTATGTGTATGAAGGCGCAGACTTAAAGCTGCACGTAAATAAATGTGAATTCTTGTCAACAGATGGCGCTATTCGTAATTATTGAATCGCGCTATTGAGTTTCGGTTGTTTCAGTCTTTTGCATTCCTGTCAGGTTCGTTAATTAATTAATTATTTTAGAAGCTGCGAGTGTTATGGATAATTACTTCTCATATTGCTAATTTCGGAGTTATTTCTCCAATCACAAATTACAATACATTGAAATTGCATGCGCAGTTATACTCACGTGTTACGCTTATGAACAGTTATTGCCAGCTTGGCTATTTTTTACAAATATTTGTAATACATATTCATAGCCAACATTAACGCCACATGGCATTTTACTATTTTAAAATTTAGCTTTTTGCTTGTTTTTGTTGAACGACGGAATTTAGATTAGCCAATAATTAAACGAAGATAAAGACAATAGTTTTTTTAACTGTACTAAATAATGACCGGTTTCTCAACCACATTTAACTATTCGTCATGTTTTTGTTCGATATCTTCATAATTTTGGGTTGCTGATGTTTCTATATATTTTATTATTATTTATCATTTAATTAAAACTTTTTGCACAAAAATTAAATAAAAATAATACAAATGTTTAAACTATACTAATACAAAATATGTGCAAGGGCGGCCTTTTACCATTACCTTTTGATTTATTAGTTTCAGGTCGACCTAAATTTCAACAGAGTAAACTCAAATTACTAAGTTCAGAATTTGACGAACTTAAAAACACTGACATATGGTTAAAAGTAGCTGGGAAACTGGCCATAAAGGTGCTTTTGTTCGTTATTTTGTGGACATGTGATACACAATTCTTACGGTGATTGGTAGATTTATATTAACACTAGCTGTTGCCTGCGACTTCGTCCGCGTGGTATTAGAAAACATACGAACTATATAAATAACAAAAAGCTACATATCCCTCGGGAACCGGACATTTCTCGGGGATGAACCTTATCCCATGTGTACTCCAGACTTTGCTTTATATCTGTGCCAAATTTCAATAAGATATGTTGAACCGTTGCAGAATGATCGAGTAAATATTAAAAAACCTAAATTAATGAATCCTATGTGTTCTTCCAGACAATGCTCTAAACCTGTGTCAAATTTCATGGAGATCCGTTCAGCCGTTTAGGCTACAAACGCTAACAAACATCCATCTAAACATTCTCATTTATAATATTAGTAAGATTAGAGTGTCCTACACGCTTGAAATCCCGCGGCTTCACTCGGAATGTCAATCAGCAATCACCCGCAGGCGGCAGTAAACTTTTACAATCCTGCCGGGAATCGAAAAACGTAATGTCGTATAGTATTCGGCAATAGAGATTTAAGACTCTTACTTTACATCAGTAGATTACATAATTCGTATTTACACTTAGTACTTGTTTAAAAAAAGTTGTACCAGTCGAGGACATTAATTTCCCACCCACTTCGAGGCAATAATAAATTTAAAAAGTTTAAGAAAATAACAATTTAATTAAAAGACGATATGAAAATCATTTTATTATCTTAAATAGGTAATTATTTAAATGGAAACGCAATCTTCAAATATTAAACAATTCTATATTCCATGGGGAAGTCACGAGAACTGCTTATCTTATCAAAATCAAAACAAATTCAATAAGGTTAGAGTGGTATGGGCATGTTATGAGAAGGGATGAATCGCATGTAACAAGAAGGATATTAGTTATGAATGTGGAGGGGTACATCGGTAGAGGTAGACCTAGAAAGAGATGGATGGATTGCGTGAAAGGTGACATGATCAAGAAGGGAGTGATGACTGAGATGACGGATGATAGAATGCTTTGAAGGACAAAAACCCGGTGCGCCGACCCTACGGGAGTAGGATAAGGCGGGGGAGATGATGATGATAATTCTTATCTTCCATATGAAATACAGGTACCCGATGTCCTTTAAAGTGCGCACACACCTTCGACTACAATATCGCACAACCGTTTAGTCTCGCTTTGATTCCTGTGAGCTTATATAGATGTGCGAACCCTACTCAATTTTTAGTTGTGCAACTAATCAGTCGAATGGGTTATGAAACAATCGACAATCGCACAACTGTTGTGCGATAATTTAGTCAAAGGTGTGCGCCCGCACTTATTATTCCCAATATCGAAAAAAAAACGTGTTCAATAAAGTTGGCAAATTTGCTGCGTCAAAGAGATTCGATTTTGTCTAGACTCCTCTATATGGCGGACATAAATCAAAGGCCAACACGAGACAGCAAAACCTTGCCAGGAATATTTTATGGACATACTAACTTTTACCCGCGACTTCGTTCGTACAAAATTAAAAATAAACTTAGGAGTATATGTGTTCTTCCAAACAGTATTCTACATGTGTGCCAAATTTAATCAAGATTCATTAAGCCTTCGAGGTACACAGTAACATCGATCCATCCAAAGTTTCACAATTAAAATACTAGCTTTGGCCCGCGACTCCGTCTGTGTGATATTAGAAAAACAAAAGCAAGTAGCTCTGTTCCTCTAGACTAGGCATAAATTTCATCTAGATCTGTTCAACCGTTTAGGCTACAAACTCTTTCAAACATCCATCCATCTAAACTTTCGCTTACTGAAAAAAGATAAAAGTAAACAAAAATGTGTGTTTGAGAAAATCACAAATAAGTATACATCTTTCAATGTAATATTAAAGTATTTGAGTGCTTTAAAAAGTGTTCTTTGTAAAATTAAATTTCACAAAACAATTTAAATTAGGGAGTTCAAAAGAAAACTTGAAGAACATTAGCGCGATGCTCGTCTTTGGTTTAGCGAAGATTATTTTTCTGTTGACGACACTTGAACGTTTGCTTTTGATGTTGTTTGTGCGAAAGATTATTGGTTTTTATCAACGCTTCAAGCGTGAAGAGAATTCAATTTCTTTTGATTTCGATATATCTGAGATCGGTCATGCAAACATATTTCTCTATTGCAAATAAAATTAAATTACAGTAATAGAAATAGTCCTCTTTATTTCGAAATTCAAATAATATAATAAGAAAAGAAAATCGAATACTGGATTAATCATTTTTGGCATAAGATCGCTGATATTCTAGAAGGTAAAACTTTCATCTATCTCTACTTTCTAAGAGTAGTATAAAATATCTCCTTTAGGTTTAGTGTCATCATGAACTTGCCCTTAAGGAGGGTCGGAAAAATATGTGCTGATCTTCCATACATCTCTATTAGCCGTCATATCTAAAACCACTCCTTTCTTAAGCATATCCTCTTTCACACAATCCATCCATTCTTAGGTCTTCCTCTTCCTTTGTAGCCATCCACATTCATTCTTAACGCTTTCTGGTTTATGTCCCCATCGTCTCGTCGCATATGTCCATACCACGCTAACCTTCTGCTTCTCAATTTCTCCACCACTGGCGCTACTTTGAAATTTTCTCATATATACACATTTGACGAATTTTAGTTTTAGTATATCATTAGATTTTTAGTAATTTTGTATCATTAAAAATGCGATAGTTTGGATGGTTGTTTATTAGAGTTTATAGTCTAAACTGCTGAATGAATTTAGATAAAATATGGCACAGATATAGAACATAGTTTGGAAGAACAGATAGCCGATTTACTCAATTTACTTTTAATCCCGCAGACGGAGTCGCGGTCGATAGCTAATAGAACATAAATTTTACAATCATTTCTACACTTCGTTGTATTCACTCAGATTTACAAAAGAAAATTAAATACTAGAATTATCTGCTTAAAAGATTAACCGGGGGAAATGTGTTGAAATGACAGGATTGTTTTGATGCTTGTAGTAGGCACATTTAGATGAGCAGCTGTTTGGTATGGGGACTGCGCCGTGACACTCGATTGACATATCCGATCCAACGAGCACGAGATCTCACATGAGTAGTCACATTAAGGATTTAATGGAGCTTGTCACCTCTAAATTCTATAGGTTCAAATATATGCATTAGCCAAATACTTGTGTCTTACCGTAGAGAAAGTTAAATATAGTAGTTAACAAGGAACGTTTTTCCTCTTCATACGGGCTTTACTTAATTGATTATAATTCACTCTCACTCTTATCCAAACTCATACCAAACTTACCCTTGCCTATTCAATTCGGAGCTCAATTTTTAGGTTATTCCCAACCGTCACCCCGCTCTGTCCCCACGTGAAAATAAAAGTTGCATCCGTCCCACCTTTTAGTCACACTATCACTGAAACTTTTTATTCACATCTGTTCCCGCGTGGGAACAGAGCGGGGCGACGGTTGGGGGTATTCCTAATTTTTAAGTCTAAATCAATTATCAAAAACTAAAGCATATTTTTTAAATGTAAGCACAACTCTATGAAGATCTAGAGCGCATAGAAATCGAATCACATACTCCTTGATTTTGTGTAGCTACCACTCGGAATACAAATGAGTCAGTGTCCTGCATCGATCGGCCGGTAAAACTTTATAGTACCGACCCTTGCGTCAGAGTAATCTCAAGTGTACTTAGACACGACCCTTTTTCTTATAACACTTTATTTCAGGATGTTAACTGCTTATTTCTGCTGACTAATTTCTTAAGACATTGTGTTTATTTTCTACAAAACAAATAGAAGTTACAGAATCAGGATATCTATTTAATATGGTTTAAAAGTTACATAAGAATTAAAATATCGAAACAGGTGTATTGCAATTGTGTAATATCTAGTTATACATGTGAATAACTTCTCCAAGGAAAGAAGGAAGCTGCGGAGGAAGGAATCTCAAAGAATCCCAGCATGATTTTTTAACTTCTTCATTTCCACTCCCTTCTCCATTTGTTACTGCTTTAATATCAACATCAATAATGTTTCTAGAACCTAATTCACTCAACTCATTATAATCACTGTTATGGTACACACAAGACATCCCCGAAGTCGGTTTAATTACAATATGCGGCTTAGTTTTATCCGATTTATTCGAATTCCTTTTTCCACGTATTGTAAGTGCGATATCTTTGCTAGAGGATTTCGTTGTACCATTTGTGTCTGATTGCATGAGTTTAGAGACTTCGTGGTATAACATAGTCATGTTTGAGTCGAATTCTAACAAATCACAAGAATCATTCTCATGTCGTACTATTGCTGTAGTCTCGACTAATTTATCTACCATTCGTCTGTTCTGTAATATATCATCCAGCTGTGAACTGTTAATAGCAGCAACATCTATATTTGATCCCTTCTTTAGTTTAGATACATAGATGTTACTCGAACGAGTGAACTTTAATAATACAGGAGCCTTAGAACTACGTCTTCTAACAAATAGAATCATGCTATCAGATACGGTGGACTGAATTGGTAAGGACTTTGAAGAATCCAAGAATTTTTTAATGTTTTTAATAAAATTCGATTTCAAAGCCCTATTTAAAGGAGTTTTTCCCAGTGATTTTCCAACTTGGTTTTGTTTCGTTAACTTATCCGATTTTCTAGATGAAGAAAATCGATTCTCATAAATATTGTATAATTGATCAGGTTGCTGCATTCTGACCTGGTGAAATTTCGGTTTTGGTAAACTAATAATTAATTCCCTGCAACACTTTGATAGTTTCATTGCTTCTTCGGATTCGGAAATAACTTTTGTAACTAAACTGAGATCACGAGGTACGTTCGAAATTATTTTTATGTTTCCCGATCGTGTTTTCTTTAAAATACCTATCTCCGTTTGAGGTTCATTACTGCAGCATCCAAATTTCACCATACGACTTCCGGATTCGCTTTTCCTCAATGTGAGAATAGCTGTACTATCATCCTTGATTATATTCTTAACTGTTGCTTTTAAACATTTTTCAAATTCCTTATCAATAGCGAGAACATAATTTCTTGAAGGTGTAGATTTTAAAACTCCTGGAAACTCATATATACTGTCATCATCTTGTAATACCTTTAACTTTGTGTATGTTTCGGGCAATAAAGCGAGCAATCTGTCGTGAACCTGGTCCAGAGGCTCTGTGGCAATAATCAAAACGATTCCCGAAGGAGTTTTTCTTAAAATCGCATTAGGTTGTATCTGACTGTTTTCTCCATTTAAATTTAAACTAACTTCTGGCATATTATGTATACTTCTTTCAATTAATTCTGATACATTTTTATTTCCTTTGAAGAATAAACATCCTGGTAAAACTTTTTTGAGCTTCATTATTCTGTCTATACTTGAAGTACAAAATTCAGATTTGAATTCGATCAGTATTTGACCGGAGTCTGTCACTATTATTTTGGTTAATGAGTGTGGGTGCATTTTACTCTTATTTTCAATAACTTTTACAAAATCCTTATCAAATTCAAGAACCGAGGCACCGGATGGTGTTTCTGCTATTTTTAAAAACCAATCGTTTAAACAAATTGTTATAGGGCATGTAGTCTGAGCGGCTTGTTCTCTATTGTTTAACTGTTTTTCATCTGCAAGTGAATTATTAGAAAATTACAAACATATCCTTTTGGGATTTATTTTAAATGTATTTAATTATGAGAGTACAAAACAAACAGTCTCGATTTTGACAATAATTAGGAATTTAAAAAAATTTAATTTATGTTATGCTAAAATAAGCTTAAACTTTTTTTTAATAAGTGCAATTATTTAAAAAAAACACTAATACTACTAATTACTGCGGTAAATAAAACTTCTACGCTTTTAGTAAATATTTAATAATCCAATATACATCAAATTTAATTAACCATTTTACAGTTACTTGACGTTTCCTCGCCGGTACACTGGATTAGGTAAATTTCCTCTATATCGTTACCGTGGTGTCAGAACTGACTACTGAGCTGATTTGGTCGGCATGGCCGTCATTATAACTCCCCATCACTTCAGCGATAAGTCGCTTTCTCGGCTGGCTACCTGGGTGCGGATACCTTCGTTAATCAAGCAATGAATATTTTGTACTCCCATAAAAAGTAAACAAGCCAATAAATACCTTGTTCGAATTTCGAATTGGTCGCTGGATAAGAACAATCACAGTAGCCCTGAAAACAGAAATATTTTTACAAAGGAAATTTCAAAATAAAATACTTTGGCAGTAGCCTAGATGTTTGGGGTACGGACTACCCATCTTGCTGTCGAGGGTTCGAATCTCGAGATTAGATTATTGTCGTGAACGATAACCTAAAACAATCTGTTTCAAGCTTACCTAGAATGGTTAACAGAAATATTAGTAAATAAACAAAACGCTATTTTAGAAAAAAAATAGCAAACTCTGCTTTTGTGTACAACAAATAACTCACATGCCTAAAGCTATGAAAATGAAAAAGTAGCATGATAGTTCGAATTTTTAAAATACCTATCACTTTTGTGAAGTTTGAATAGGTTTTTTAACATATTTTTTTGTTTTATTTTAACATTTTCTGCTCCAATAAACAAAATAGATAGTTAATCATACCGGATGCGTCAAAGTAGGTTGTATTTTAGGTTTAGGTACAGAGTCCCTTGTCGGTATTGAGGAAGATATCTCTGGTTCCAACACACAAGGCGCCGTTCTCATATTTTTTGACATTTTACAAGTCGAACCACTACAAGTGTCACATCTCGATTTCGCAATTTCATCCATCATCTGCTTGAATTTTTCGTCTTCTTTACCACAATCCGGTCCACAGATTGTTTTATGTCGGTGAGGACATAGTGTTTTGTTATCCTGAAAAAATTTAACTTGAAAATCTAAAATCCTCCAGCAAAGAGATAGAATCTGTACTCGTTTATGATTCTAGGATTTTGAAAAAACATAAAAGAAAATCTTTAGAGCTGAAATCAAATGTACACCTAGACATAAGAGGATCTACGATTAGCTTTTGTGTATCAAATAGTTGTTTTACATCTTGAGATGATATATACGGTCAAGATTGCGGGAGTGTGCTGAACGCGGTCGGCAGAAGACCAGGCATCATTACAATCGATATGGGAAGCCTACGCTCGGCGGTGGACGATCTCAAGCTGACAATGATGGTGATATCTTGAGAAATAATTAAAGCTATAAATGGAAATGTTAAAGTGTTTACATCCACGTAGTCGTCGTCCACTGGACAGGGCGAGGGGTCGTGTGGCGCGGGCGGGGCTTTCTTCGTACAGATGCAATCCTTCGGACCCCTAGGACAGTTGCACTCGCTGGCTCCTCCCCAACGAGAGCACGGCGCCTGCATTTTATTGCATTAGTTAAACAATTAGAAAAAATGTAAATTAAAGTAATGTTAAAGATTACCTTTTTAGATGCTGTCCCTTTGTCAACTTTTTCCGGCTTCGATACTTGAACTTTCTGCAGACAGATCATCAACTGCCTGTACATGTCTGGATCCATCTGAATTTCAAAGCAATACGTATTAAACACTAGCTTTCTCTCGCGACTCCGTCTGCTTGGAATTAAAAAAAAGTGAGTAGCTATGTGTTCTTCCAAACTATGCTTTACATGTATACCAAATTTCATCGAGATTTGTTTAGCAGTTTAGGATGCAAGCCTTAACATCCATCTAAACTTTCGCAGTTATATCATTAGTTGATATTAAGATTTACGTTCAAACTTATTTATTTAATCTTCCAAATTTAATCCTAAATAGTATATTAGCAATAAGATTGAATAGCAAATACTTACTTCACACCTAGTTTTAACAGCGCCGCCAACTATAGTCAGATTCAAATGTTTTTTCACAACGGTCAGTATAAATTCTTGTAGCATTTTTCTTGTTCTATCGTCTAGTTTACCGTTCCTACTTCTCTTTAGACAATCCAAAATCTGATCGGCTACTACTTTCCCGCTGCCTTTCTTTATTTGTCTGTCTAACACGGTGTACATATTTTCAAACACGTTATCCAAAAATTTTCTCTTCACCGTTGTACAAATACAGTCCATTGTGTGGTCGATACCGCAGTGATCGCCTTGCAAGGCGCAACGTCGTTCTTCCAAACATTTTGGACAGTCGCTGCAAAATCTATGTATTTCGACCGTATCAGTCCCTTGGTTACATTTGCCACACTTCGATTGTTGGTTGTTAATATCTTTATCGAGATTCTGAATTTGGTTTTCAATTGATTTTTGTCTTAAATCACATTTATCTCGACATTTGTCACGTGCTTGGAGTAATAATTCTATTTCTGATGACAATGCTGCTCTCTAAAAATAGCAAATTAATGAACGTTTTTTTAGTAAAAGAATTATTCATGAAAGCAATACAAAAAGCGAAATATACATGCAAAATATTACATATCGAGCTATCTGTTTAAACAGGAGATAATACCTCTGCTCTCAAATCCTCGTTTTCTAACTTCTTCTTTAATAAAACGCCGCAAATCTTTTGCAAATCGTCTCTTGCTTCCTTGATGATTTTGGATCCTTCACTTTCCTTTTCCTTCTTTGTCTTATTTTCCTCTGCAACAACTTTTTCCAAATTCCTTATATCTTCTTTATATTTTGCAATCTTTTTCTGTCATATCAATAATTTGAATCACATGTTTCAGAAGTACAAAAACTACAGATCTTCCAAAACAAATTAAATTTATTTTACAGTACAGTACTTTTACCAAAAAAATATTTACTTAATTGTACAGTAATAAATGATCATAAAACACTTACGTCAGTTGCTTCCTTTTTCGAAACTATTGACTTTTTAGTTGCTTCAATTTCTTTTTTGTTATTTTCTAACCTACTCTGCAAATCTTTTATTTCCGAATCTAGATACTTAACATCGTTACTCTTCTGATTTATTTTGTCCCTAACGTCGCCTCTGTATTTATCCACTTTATCAATTTTAGATTCTAGATCTTTCATGTTTTCACGCCATTTCTTAGTGCTTGCCTCAACTCCTCTTAGCTAAAAGCAACAAATTGTATATACATAAGGTTATACGTCGTATCTCGAATTGAAATCAAAAGTAATTAGTTTGCTTTCAAATAAATTGCAGAAATAAGATAACCTCTTTTTCCAATAACTTCTGTCTCTCAAATGTCTCCACCATTTTCTTCTTATAAGTACCCTCCATAGACATCCACATGCAGTCCGCCTCTCTTAGCATTTTTATGCTCTCTTTCTCCCGCGCTTCTAATTTCTGAATCGCGTCTTTTAATTGCATCTCAGTTTCCATTAATTCCTTAAGTTTGTCTGTACATTTCTGATCGAATGACGCTGCCTGTCGAATTAATAAAAAAATGTACACTACTTTTTATTATTATAATTGAATAATCAAAGCCTGCAAAGCAAAATGATTTATGGGATATTGCATGTTGATGGACAATGCATGACTTGAAAAACTACTGAAGTGTTGCCAGCTTTGAGGGAATGGTACACTCGCTCCTTGAAAGATTGCAAGTCGTACTGGTTTGTTTGTGTGTATCTAGTGTCTATCAATTTATAAGTAATATTAACTCCAAATACCTCTTCAAAATTACATAAAACCGAACAGATAGGTGTACTTTGACCACATTCAGTAACAGAGCTGATAGGAGTTGGAGTTATGGGTGGTTCTTGCTTGCAACTGTTAAAAAGAAAATGCGATTACCATACCACTGTTAACAAAATGGGTTACAATTAAAACTTCCAATATTTTCACCTTTTGTCAGTATCGCCGCATTTATTGCAAGTTTTCTTATTTCTGGCAACATAGCAAGTCGTACACAGAGGTTTGGAATGTATTTCACATTTTTCAACACCTGACGATGGACGAACTATTTGGGATCCCGTTCGGGTAACTGTTTGCTGCACAGAAAAAAGAGTGCCAACTATTCGAGAGGTAAAAACAAGTACGAGAATACAGCATATACACGATAATCATGAAACAAGTAAATATTAAAGAAGAATTACCTAATCGTCTAATCTTTCTTTGGTTGTTAAATTAGTCAAATACGAACTCTTTATGGTAACTTATCTATAGTTATATTATAAAGATGAAAGATTTGTTTTTAGTATTCTTGTATGTATTAAAATAACTCAAAGTCTACTGTGCCAATTTAAAAAATTCTTTACCATTAAAATCTACGTTATCAGTGAGTAACATAGTTCATTAAAATTCTGTTAAAAGGCCCTTATTACGTACCTTCACATCAAAATTAGGATCATCTTTGAGCATATTCCAAAATTCGCACATAAGCTTTATGCCACGGTCACTCCTGCAGCCACAATCGCAATTCGGATGAGGTGGCGCGCGTTCCGTGACAGTACGCAAGTCCCTTATTACCTCGTCCAATGCACGATATCGTTTTAATAAACAACTAGGCAGTTCCTTCATTTTAATACAGTTTCGAGTAGCTGCTAACATAAAACACTTAAAATGTTGATGGACAGAAAATGGTTAGTTATTTAAATATGTTATATGGGTATTTCACTTAAAGGAAGTAGTTGACTTACCTGGTGCAGATATAGGGTTTTATCTGTAAATAAAACTATTTTTGTAATTATTTGAGTTAAACACACAAAAATTTTGAAGATTATTTTTCTTTAGAAAATGACAGAGAACTTGACTTTTTTAGTTCTTTTGATATGAACTAAAATAGCATTAATTACTATACTAGTGATAAAAAAAACTGGATTTAACACAAATAAGAAATCCATCAATACAATGTGTGCCATTTTATATGCATTTAGTTTTTAATTTTCATTTCCTCTCGTCACAATATGAAAAACTAAATGAAAGTCTTACATAACGTTCTTTGTAAACACTTTCTAAAAAAAAGTTAACTTCTCAACGTCAAATTGACATTTGTAGCTGATGACAGTGACATCTCGAAAATTTTTAAAATAAGAACACAAAAACTTATTAACATAGTTTATTATGCATTTACGACTTTATTTCTTAAATTTATAAGAGTTTCTATTATATTTTTATATGAAATCATTTAATGTTTCGCTAATAAGTAATAATAAATGTAGCATACACAACTAGACTAAGAAAAGTTTACTTAGTTGAAGCAGTGATAATGAGACGCAAATAAGAGGAACATTAAAATCATTCAGAGATAAGAAACATCTTGCATCACAATTGTATAGTATCGGAAGTCAAGACCATGTCGGAATTGAGTGCTGTAAGTCGTTCAAGAAATTTATTACTTTATTAAACTATAAGAATATGTTTTAAACACCATTTATTTACGTAAATAACTCTTCAGTCTTTAAAAAAAGTATAAAACAATTAAATTTGTTGGTTATTTTATCTAATCTTATTAAATACGAGCTGTTGCCCGTAACTTTGTCCCCATGGTATTAGAAAACATACTAATCCTTCTTATCCCTCGGGAAATGGATATTTCTCGGGGATGAAGCTTATCCCATGTGTACTCCAGACTTTGTTTTATATCTGTGCCAAATTTCAATAAGATATTTTGAACCGTTGCAGAATAATAGAGTAAACATTATTAAACTAAATTAATGAATCCCACAGGAACCATGACTATTCCCAGGATAAAAAGTAGCCTATGTGTTCTTCCAGACTATGCTACAACCTGTGCCAAATTTCAAGAAGATCCGTTCAGCCGTTTAGGCTACAAATGCTAACAAACATCCATCCATCTAAACTTTCGCATTTATAATATTAGTAAGATTGATTTTAGGAACATCCTAGAAATCTCATACCAGAACTGTGTAAACAGTTCTATCACTTAGGATGGGTCACAGGTACAGGAGGAGGAATATCAATAAAAGAAGGGTAAGTAACAATAATAATTACAGTATACTTATAATTTCTACATATATATTAAATTAACTTTTGCCCGCTACTCTGTCTTAAAGAATAAAAAAAACAAAAGCAGTTTATGCATTCTTTCTGATGTTCTATGTCCACACCATATTTGATCTAAAACTGTTTGGCTGTCTAGGCAGCCAACTTTAACAAACATCCATCCATCTAAAGTTTCACATTGAAAAGATTAAAACAATTTTGTTTCTGGCTGTGCCGAATTTAGAGGTCTCGTTAATAATAAAATAAAAAAAAACTTCCCATTTTATGACTTAATATCTTTTATTTGTTTTTTTCAGAGATAAAATCTACATAGCGCCCTCTGGTGTTCAAAAGGAGAGAATGAAGCCAGATGATTTGTTTGTACAAACTATTAATGATGAAGATTTGGAATTACCACCACTGGAGAAAAAGTAAGTAGTTTCTTAGTGTGGAGGTACACCGGTAGAGGTAGATCTAATAAGAGATGGATGGATTGCGTGAAAAGTGACATGATTAAAAAGGCAGTGATGACTGAGATGACATATGATAGAGTTATGTGGAGGACAAAAATCTGTCGCACCCACCCTACGGAAGTAGGATAAGGAGAAAGATTAAGAAGAATGAAGTTTATTTTCTATGTTAACTTTAACCTCAAGCAGATTTTTACTTAGTAGCCAGTAACTCAGGTAATGAAGTTTTATTCCTGTAAGATTCCTTATCCATATAAAAAATTACTAACTTTCAATAGCAACTCTGCCTGAGTGATTAAAAAAACGTAAGTCTATGTGTTCTTCCAGACTGTCCTCTACATCTATGCCAAATTTCATCAAGATCTGTTCAGCAGATTAGTATGTACACTCTAACAAACATCTATACATATAAAATTTCGCATTTATGATATTAGTAAGATATAGGTTTTTAACTTTATGACCTGTAATTTGACTATTACCAATAAAGACATTTAAAAAATATATAGATGTGGCAGCAAACAAAATTTTTTCACCATTACTTTTTCTGATAGTACTTACAACTTTAAATGTATGAAAATGTATATTATTGAAATGGAATAAATAAATATAAATATTATGAATGTGGATGTTTGGATGGATGTTGGAGTTTGTATCCTAAAATTTGGCATAAATGTATACCACATATTCTGGAAGAACACAGACTATTCACTATTGTTTATTTAAAATTTAGTCGCGGGTTGAGTCGAAAGCTGGAAATTAAATAAAAATTAATTAAAGCCTGGTGTCCTCTATGCCTCCTCTATAATTAAATCTCTACCATAGAAACAATCATTTTTTTTCTTTTTTTAATTTTAGTCTCAAAAAGAGTCAATGCACTCCACTGTGGATGTTTGGATGGATGTTGGAGTTTGTATCCTAAAATTTGGCATAAATGTATACCACATATTCTGGAAGAACACAGACTATTCACTATTGTTTATTTAAAATTTAGTCGTGGGTTGAGTCGAAAGCTGGAAATTAAATAAAAATTAATTAAAGCCTGGTGTCCTCTATGCCTCCTCTATAATTAAATCTCTACCATAGAAACGATCTTTTTTTTTTCTTTTTTTAATTATAGTTTGAAAAAGAGTCAATGCACTCCACTGTTCATGTTGGCGTATCGTGACCGCGGCGCGGGCGCTGTCATACACACCCACTCGCCGCACGCCGTGCGCTGCACACTGCTCTATCATAAGGAATTTGTTATCACACACCAGGAGATGATAAAGGTAAGAGGAAGTATTCAGCACATATTTCTCCACTGAAAGGAGCCTTCCCTATATTATTTATAACACGGCTAAAACTCACGTGGGAACTTTCGGTGTAAGCACAGACCAGTTTCAAACCCGTAGGGGGTCCTTCTTCAGGGTGAGAGGACGCCGGCTTTATTCGCTATCGCGTCGCGACGGTTACTGCGTGCCCTAGCCCGCAACGCGCGATTCGACAGGACGGGGGGCGCGGGGGTGCGGGGGTGCGGGGGGGACGCTGTGCGTCGGCGGAGACGAACTCGAAACTGAAGAGTTGTGCCTTCCCTTCCATCCCTAAGTTAGAAACTAGGCTATTCAATATTGATCCCTACGGCATTACTCAATTATAATATTTTAATTTGTAAAAAAAACTAAAATTTGTACTAAAAAACTGTAATAAACACTACTTGTTTCCAATAAAAAAAAACAAATGTAAGTAACCTATGTGTTCTTCCCGACTATCCTATACATCTATACCAAATTTTATCGAGAACTATTCATTGGTTTAGGCACAAACTCAAACAAGCATCCATCTATCCATCCATTCAAACTTTCTCTTTAAAACACTAGTGAGATAAAAAGATTATCTTTGAAGAATAACAATACAGTGTACTCTTGTTACAAAATTCATCCATTTTTTTTAACAAATTAATTTAAATCATAAAATAATTGTATCTTATTATATATGTCTTTGATATGTCTATTTTTAAAAAGTAAAAAAAATTACTAAAGTATATTTGTATCCCTCAAACAATATCTGGTATAAGGTAGGGTCAACGTTCAGAGTGTGGTTAACCCCTGTCAAGTACAGATCAGTAGCGCCAAATAACTGGACTGGCAATCAACTGGCACAGGGAACGCGTACTGGCACCATCGAGTCCGTGCATTTTATGCCGTTACTCTAGTATTTATTTAAAGTGTTTGTATATTTTAGGGTATAAAAGATTCCCAACTAGGCCGCTACCTTCGCTATGACGAGAAACTAGTTGTACCAATAATCGAGAATACACCGTTTGAGCGGGACCTGGCTGCGAGCCTGGGGGAGGCTATGCTGCAGTATCCGGGGACCAGCGCAGTCCTGGTGCGAAGACATGGCGTCTACGTGTGGGGGGATAGCTGGCAGCAAGCAAAGACCATGTGAGGAACTGTTCCAACTTCGTCATCATCCCTATCCTACTCCCGTAAGGTCGCAATGGTTTTTCCCTCCACATAACTCTATCATCCATCATCTCAGTCATCATTTCCTTTTTGATTATGTCACCTTTCACGCAATCCATACATCTCTTTCTAGGTCTACCTCTACCAGTGTTCCCACAGTTATAACTAACGTCCTTGTTACTTACGATTTGTATACTAGCTTTCGGCCGCGACTCCATATGAGTAGAATTAAAAAATAAGTTACCTACGTTTTCTTCCAGACTATGCTCTAAATCTATGCCAAATTTCATCGAAATTCGTCGAGTAGTTTAGGCTACAAACTCTAATAAACTTCCATCCATCTAAACTTTCGCATTTATGACATTAGTGAGAAGTGACATTGAATGTATATTTCCCTTTTAGGACGGAATGCTACGACTACTTATTCGAAATGGCTGTAGAAATGAAGAAATTAGGCCTTGATCCGGCTTACAACCCAGAAACTTCGAAATAAAAATAATTTTATATTTTATATAAGTGTTACTACCTTTTATACACAAATTTTTAAATAAAATAACTTTTCTAATCTGTATTTTATTAACATATGAATCTAGATAAGTCATCTAAAATAGTGTTGCCAGTTTTCCTTTCATTTTGTTTATCTGTATCTCTTTCTGCTGTCAATCTTTTTCTAGTTATTCCATGAAGGCTTGATGACGTTTTCCTAAGAATTAAATCCTTTATTTCATCTAATTCTGCCTTTGTAAGATCCGTGTAGCAATAATCATTGTTCAACATATCTTGTTTAGCCATCCCATACAAATACATTGGGTCTAGATTTTTGTTTTTTCTTATTCGATTCGCTTGTTGGCATTTCAAAACCCTTTTTAGACCTTCAAGATACGATTTGTTTTCTGGTATTTTCGCGTCGATTATTTCTATACCAATTTCGCCGCCGTATTTTAAATCTTCATCCGTTATTTTGTTATTACGTTTGACGGCTGACGGAATTGACGGAATGTCTGAAAAAGTAAAGATTAGAAAAATGCACAAAACAAATGTTTCTTTTATATTAAACATTGTAAAAAATGGAAATCGTCTTAAATTATTTTGATATTTGAATAACGTTAAAAAAATTATTAGTTTGATATCTGTAAGAGCTCTTAAAACGTTCTTTTTGTAACTCGAAGAGATTTTTTTTAAACATTATTTTTTACAAAACCAAATTACGTACTTAAAAATAATGCTAAATAGTGGAAAAAAAACATTTGCAAGACGGAACAAGTACCTTTTTCAATCTCGCAAAATTGTCTAACCGAAAAATAAGCTCTTAAAGTTTGCATAGGTTTCGAGCAACTACCGTACTGAAATACATCGTATTCCACGCAAACTATACGCTCCTTTAGTCTCCTTATTTCCACATTTTCCTTCTTGTATCTCGCAAACTTCTCCGCTATTATTTTTACACGAGGTTCATTGTGAATATGTACTCTATTTGAACGTACAAAAGCCTTTGACTGTCCTGAAATATTAAAAAAAAAACAGGTAAAGTGAAATCGCACCATCAAATACACTTCCCCATTCCATCTTGTCTTAATAAGGATGGGACAGGAAAGAGGACTAATTAAGCCCTCGGCACGCACTCTGAAGAAACGCCGATTTTCTTTCACACAGAAGACAGGTGCAATCAACTGGCCAATCAATTCCTGGACTAGATGGGCGTCTACCAACGTTAAGCTAAGTACACAAAAGTTTTAGATAACTTACGTTGCGTTAAAACTTCAGCGTCTCTGTGTAAAAGAGGTCGCGTGACATGTTTCGGAAAATCGTAGATATCTTTATAAATACTATGAGTAACACTCAACGGATTTGACGGTGTTGCTTCAGGTAATACGTTACGCAGCAAATGCTTTAGTTTCCATAAGAGGTCTTTGATGTCTTGAGGCAGAGTTGAATCGGTTTGTTCCTGTGCAGAGTATTGCACGCGCACTGGATGCTGAAACTAAAAATTTTACATACTCTTGGAACTATCAGTTTGCTGTAATACTCGGCACCGTTAGTAACTAAGGCATTCTTTTGTGATTATAGATTTAAAATGATATCAACCTCAACAGCCGTATAATAGAAATGTATAAAACCATCTAAACTTTATAGCGGCTCGCAATTTCTGTTTAGTTATTGGCGTCAAGTTAAGTGGGGGCGGGGCACACTCCTGCGCAGTAGCGCCATCCACAGTGTTTCCAGACGTCCGCTAACAACTAACAACGAGCTGCCACAAAGTTTGAATGTTATTACCTCAGTTTTCTCCACACCTTCAGTAACCTGCTGCGCGTCTTTTGTATCTGGACTGAAATAACAGCTTCTATTCTTCATCAATTCCAAACGAAACTTGTCATTCAAATTGTTCTCAACTTTCTTACATTTGGCAAACAATACTTTAGTCTGTACATCATGTTTGTTCGCAACAGTCCGACCTAAGCGATTGTTTTTCTGCATTTTTATATGATTTTAGATTTTTTAATTTATAACGACTACATATTTGAACACTAGAGGATTTGACATTGACGTGCAATTAATAAATGAACATTGACACATCCGCGGTAAAAATGCCGAAATGAAAGAGGTCAAATGAGAAATTAGGTGATTAAAAAAACACTGGATTTGGTTTTACGTAATACATATTAAATATTAGATTTTTAACAACAACCATCAATAATCGATAATTAAATACAAGAAGTGTTTTAGAATGCTTGTTGTCGACCTAGGGCTCCAAAAAAATAATGAATCAATTCAGAAACTGGATTATTGTTTTTTTACCAACTTCATATGGTAAAAGTACGTTTAACGTTTCTAAAATTAGGATGGTCTTTGTGAAAATATAGATTAAATAAAATCGTGTATTTATTAGTTTATAAATTGTAATATAAAAACCATTTTATTGATTGCGGTTCTAGCTTCGTTAATAAACCACGGCACTTATTAGACACGGCACATTTTATTTCCAAGGCTGGCAACCCAAAGGTTACAAGATACATTTCTATTGAGCATAAAATTTATCTGGAAATAATATAAAGATTAATTGGTTAAATGTAACTGGTTAAACACTTTTTAAGAATTAAAAAAAAAACTTAGTAATTAGTCTGTGTGTTCTTCCAGACTATTTTCTACATCTGTGCGAAATTTCATCAAGATCCACTCAGCAGTTAAAGCTCTAAGATACGATGTACTGTTACTCTGCACTGTACTAACATAACCGAACGGAATTTAGGTGTTACCATAAATCAAAGTTCTATTTTACTTTCGTATTTCGAATTTAACTATAACAACAACTTACTTGGAATTTAACTTTCAACTTCATGTTGTTTAGCGTTCTGAAGTATATTCTCAATTAAAATGTGACGATTTTCTTCGCAGATTGTCTTGTTTACATTTACGATGTCCCTGAAGTCAAAATTTAAATAATTGCCCGTTTTATTGCAATCTTGTATATTAGACGATTCATTTCCAAACATAAATGATTCTTTAAATTTAGGTAAATCTTCAGCCCGGGTTAAAAAATTCATATTTCCAGACACATTATTATTGTTATTAAAGCCCAATTCAGTCATTTTTTCTGTGCAGAAAGGTTCGTTAGCGTTCAGTTCATCGTTTTTGTTATCGTTAATTAAATCTGTATTATTTATTATATTAGTTAAATCGGTTTTACTGTAACAAGGAAAAATGTTCGTCTTTCTTTTATTTACCAAAGCTGTTTTCGACCAGGTATATGTAAAATTTCTACATGGTACATTCTCTTCTTCACGTGCCTTTAAAGTAGTCGTTTCTTTTAAGTTCCATTTGCTTTCCAATGATAAAACTTGCAACAAATCTTGACGTGGCTTAATATCTATTGGACACTGTACATTAAGATTGTCTTCTAAATTACTATCACTATAGATATCCGATTTGTTTTTAAATGTGTCAAAATCTCTATTTGCTTTTTGAAACTCGTATAGCATTTTTAAAAGTTCCGATGTCAATAATTTCGCTTTAAACAGAATACTTCGTTCTTCAAAATAGTCATCGTAATATTCCATTTCATTATATTCACCTTCGTTATCGACTTGAAAGTTTTCATCCAAATTATCATCGTCAGATTCTTCTAAGATACTGCTTTCGATTTCTTCTTTCTTTACATCTAAATTATTTATCACGGCTAAATTAGTTTTAGCAAAACATTCTCGAATAATTTGCATTCCTTCTTTGTTGTCAGTATTCGTACTGAAACTGTTTAAAGTAAATGTTCCGCAGAATACACAAGGTTCCTTGACATCTGTTTCTTGCTTTGGGATCGCGTTTTTAGGTCCGTTTATATTTTTCTTTAAAGAATGCTGTGATTTATTTTGCACCACTTCTTGGAAACTCCACGATGTAGATTCTGAACTGTTGTATAGCTCTTTTTGATTTTCATATTCCACATTAGACTTAATTCCATCAATCTGCATTATTTCGTTGACAAAATTGTTGACATCTCTATTATCTGACGTAGCGTGTTTACTGTCGAAGATATTAAGCGTTTCAGCAGAACGTAAGTTATGGCTTGGATCTTGACATATACTTACTGCATGGCAACTGCAAAATGAATTAGATAGTTCGGAATGAACTTGTCCAATTTCATTTTTATCCCCGTTTACCTTACGAATACAATCATCACAAGTATATTTAAATAAGTTCTCATTGCGGAAGTTGTTACTGTTATACATTGGTACATTTTCATTGAAAGGTCTTGGATGTATATACTCATACAATAGAGCTGGATACATAGACTGGTGACTTGTGAATGTGGATGTATTTTCAGACTTCCCGCAGTGGGATGTTTGCGGTTTGTCTTGGTCATCATCTTCGCCTTCGTTCTCCGGCTGCAAGAGTCCACCGCAGTAAATGCAGCGACACAAATCACAATAACATTTCGATCTGAATTTAACAGATTTCCAAACACCGTTCTCGACAGATTTAAGTTTTTCACAGATCTCACATTCACACGGACTGCATTGACATTTACTGAATTCTGTCTTTTTCACCTGATGTGAAGATAAATGACTTTTTTCACATAGAGACGAGGTGCATTTCAACCTGCTATTGCATTTTGTACACCTATTTGTGTCTTCACTCTTAGATCTCTTGGCTCTCCTAGCTTCCCTCGCTTTATAATCTTTTATTATTTTTGTTAAAATAGATATTGTACAGGTTTGTTCCATTTCGTCATTTTTAGATTTACTATTAGTTATTAATGCTCTATGAATGTCTATATCTTTGGTGTCTTTTTCGAATGGTTTATTAATTACGCTATTTCTGCTCTCACATCCACAAGTATCCCTTGTTTGTCGACACGAGTGACTGAAGCATAGATCACAATGGCAATTAGGTGTTTCCATGTCGGTAGAGGTCTCCTGCATCGAATGTGGTGATGTAGAGGGGATAGCGCTGCGACAATCAGCGCAGTTACAAGGTACGCAAGGACAGTTTGTCGATTGCAAATGTTCTGCCATAGATCCAACAACAACCTTATTTGGCACGTTAAACGGCGACATACACATTATGCACTGGCAAGGTTTACAAGAGCATGTATCCGAACGTTTATTTTCAATACTTTTGTTTGATTTAGTTTTATAAGACGATTCTTTCACAACTGGATCTTTTATTAGAAATTGCAGACTATCCTTAACTTTGATGGTATATGATTGACATAGTTCGCAATCACACGGCTTACAGCTGCATGAGCTGTTTTGTAATTTTAATGTATCGTTGATGTTTCTACGATTATAACCACTGGGAGTTTCTTTGACCTCATTGTTGACTTGATAATAACTGCAAAGGTTATTGGATTTTTCCTCGTCGTTGCCTTTTAAATAACTTCTACATTCGATACATTCGCATGGTTTGCATTTGCACACATTTGCATCGTTCGCAACACAGTCGCATACTTTACAACTGCAAGCTTTGTATACTTTTTTAATTTTATCTATAATATCTTTGAGTGATATATCATTGTATGTAGTTAGTACTTTGTTAACGATATATGTAATAGGCGAATATTCTCTTACGTCGTTTTCATTTGTATTCTGATTATTAACACTTTTGGTCTTTACTGGGTTTTCGCAACATTGCGGTTTAGCTTGCAATATGACATTTCTTTTAAAAAGTCTTATACTTACGATGTTTTTGTTTTCAATCTTTGTTCTTTTATGACTTTTTTTATGTACCGAATCTTTTGTTACAAGACGGGGTTGATTTTCTGTTGAAGGTACTTTTAAGTTTTCGTAGCAGGTTGCGTCATTGTTTTTTGTAATGTATAGGCATGTACTTAACTCTTCACATGTAGGGCAATGGCATTTGTTTAATTCTCTATTTCTTTTAGCAAAACAGAATACTGATTCACAACTACTGCAGGAGCATTGCGAGGAACCAAATAATATCTGTGATTGCAACGTTTTTGTTTCATCTAGTGACATAGTTAATACTTTGGAATGCAATCTTTATGATAATTCTTCTTAACAGTCTGAACTTGATTGCATTTTTTATTTTTTTCCGAACTTCGACAGCAGGTAAATGATCCGATTATCTGTTGGAAAAGAAATAAAATATACGGAACCGTTCAACTTTCTATCGATGTCATTTTGTAGTTTATTAAAAAATGGAAAAATTTATATCACATTCTGAATTAATTTTTGATGCCTAATGTCAGAATTGATAACAGCGTGTCGTGTCAATTCTTTTTTAACGATTCCATTTAGAAAAATGACCAAGGAGATTATCAAAAAAGGCCAAAAATATTAAACGGATTATATAAATTTTTATTTAAATTTAACATAGTCAAAAGATGTGCCGCTGTTCTCTTTTAGAGCGCGCGCACACATTTGATTAAAAATTATCGCATAACAGTTTAATCTCACTTTGATTCTTGTTATCTAAATTACTTTGACTAAACTATCGCACGACTGTCGTGCGATAGTTTAGTCAAATAAGTGCACCCGCTCTTATATGGATAGATGTTGCTTGGAAATGATATATTTGTTTCATTCCGACTTATAGCCATACAAAGATCATATGGCAATTGGCAATTTTGTGAACTAACAATATCCTCTTGTATGATAAAACAAAATGCTAGCTGAAACATATACTGTCCAAGGCGCACATTTGACTAAACTATCGCACGACGTTGTGAGATTGTTTCGTAGCTAATTCATCTGTTTAGTTGCACAACTAAAAATCGAGTTGCGCACCTCCATATAAACTCATACAAAGCGAGACTAAACAGTCTTGCGATGCTTAGTCAAATATGTGCGCGTCTTATAGTGATCAGTTTTATGTGCTTTTTGTGTTACCATTATTCAGTTTAAATACTCAATTTAAAGCAAATAAAAATTCTAATGTTTAAACAATTACTAAAATAAATTTACATGTTAACTATACAAAATTACATACTGAAAACTGTCCTAGTGAAACTAGATTTAACTAACTAGAGTCAAACTGTCAAATAATAATAAGGGAATTAAAAAAAAGATCAAATAAATTTTAAATAATCATTTAATTCAATGAAATTCATCTTTTCGTTATTAAAAAATTAATAATGAATTACAATCATTCGATTCGTTATTAAAAAATAAAAATGTTTCACAGATAAAATAACATGTTATTTACATAATGTCAAAACAATTGGCACGGAAAGTTACAATTAGAAAAAAATCCGAGAAACATTTAAAATTCGACTTAAAATCGATATGAAGGTACGATTTGTTCGATATGCGCTACAGCTTATATAAATAATTCGATAACTATCGGATATGACGTAGAGTTAGCTCAGTATGGTACAGTATTTACACACGCTACACTACGAAGGCACCAGATTGAGGTCGGTGGAGATAAACACCTGAAACAAACAAATAACATTAAAACATGTAAACGCAATCTAATTTAATCAACAGTAAAAAGCGCGCGGAGAATATGCAGATAAAATTAATCTAGCAACGATAGTAAGATTTATTAAAGAAAAAAAGATTTTTTTTAAAAAGAATAAAACCCAAAACTTATACCCTAATTTAAAAAATCTATAAACTATTAAAAATGTATCAAAAAGATACAATACATCGCCAACAAGCGATCCTAACTCCAGTTTATGAGAAACACAAACTTGTGAGTTAGGACCGTTTACGTTGGAGCCATAAATTATACAAATCAACTTACACAACAAGAAGTACGACGCTATACGTCCGTGCTCCAAACTATTGAGTTTGTACCCAACGCACACGACGGACAATTCTGCAACAAAAAAAAAACAAATCAAGAAATATTATTAAAATTAAAAATGTCTATGGCCCCCTAGTGGGACCTTAAAAGGAAAGATAATACAAGATATACTTACAACAATATTCTCTATGGCGTTCGCTAGTTGCTCCTCCATTATTTTAACGTCTCCATGCTCTAAAACTTCCTGGAAAATAAAACAATTTAATGAAATTATCTATTTAATTTTATCTTTTATTTACACACTAGCTTTCGATCCCCTGAAATTAAAAACAATAAGCAGCCTATGTGTTCTTCCAGACTATCCTCTTATGTCAAATTTCATCATTGACTAAACAATCGCACACAGTTGTGCGATTCTTTCGCAGCCCAACTGTTTAGTTCTCCAACTAAATATCAAGTGTGCGCACCTCCATATAATCTCATAGGCATCAAAGCGAGACAAACAGTTATGCGATAGTTTAGTCAAAGTTGTGCGCGCGTTCTTAATGAAATTATTGATTACTTGGACTTAAAATGTCAACAAACATGCTCTGTACCTCCTGACAGACGTTGACAGTATCAGCGAGCGCAGGCGCGGCAGCACAAAGCCGTGCCGCGGCGCACGCGCAACTGACGCTCGCGAGGCGCGCCGCGCCGCGCACCACGCCCGCGTTCCCCGCCACCCCCGCCGCCCCCGCGCCGCCCCGCACACTACCCGACTGTGACGTCAGACCACGTCGCCATTCCTACAACACACGTCAATTGTATCCACACGATATAGCACCTTTATTCATGAAAAGAATTAACTCAAAATGTATATTTTGTGAAATTACGCTTGAAATTTTGTATGTTTACAATTTGAGATGGGACAAAAAGACGTTCTATCTCTTTTATTTCCATTCTATTGTGATGCGAATTGAATTAGTAGTATTTTCTCGAAAATAATATTTATTTATATATATTTATATATATATATTGTATTTATATATATTATGATAAAAACACAAAAAGACATAAATTTTGAGTTAATTCTTTTATTTATTTCTAATTTCTTAAAAGAGAATAGACGACATATTTAGTGCAGACAATTCTAGAATAAGTGCCTGCAAATACTAGAATCTATAATCTATCTTTGTCAATCAAGGTTTTGATAATTTAATTTTAGGGGTCATAATGGAGTGTTACGCCTAGTGGTATATGTAGGCTAATGAAAAAAGGTAGGTGCTAAAGAAGGAAAAAAGCACAACATTTCAATTTAGTTCAGCCGACTTCATAGGTGAAATAATTTTTGCGTTTTTATGCTAAATGACTTGAGACTTATCAGATAATTTATTTTATAGTAACATATTTCTGTATCTTCCATTACCAGTAAAGTTTATATACTAACTAAAGTATAATTGGACTTCTAGCTGTAATATGATTGTGCTGTGCTGAGTGTAGAAAGAATACGACATAAACATTTCACTAACGAATAATGTTTGTGCAGAAAAGTATTGGTTTTATTAATTCATCTGCTAAAGCAGTCGTTTTAATATAATGTAATCAAAATGTGTTATCGATGATGGAACGATGTAATATATTTTAACAGATGATCGAAGAACGCTTAATTTCCAAATCGATAAAACTTTAAAAATTAAAACGATTTTGCGTGCAGTGATAATAGAATTTTTAGACATGTCTAAACCTCAACCGTTAGTTAAAATTAGAGACATGTATGGTGTAAGTTACAAAATTAGTCACATAAATATCAAAACACACTTACCTCTGTTTCGGTCTTCGCATCCGCGTCTCCTATCGATCTGATGAGCTCCTTGGAGATCGCCATCAGAAGATAATTGGTGATCTTGGCTTTAGTATCCACAGTCACTTCAGTAGACCCTATCTCCTCACACAATGTACTTAAATCATCGTCTGTCGTATTATGCATTCTATCAAATAGATCCTCTATCAATTGTCCGACCAGTTGACTCCTCATCGCGGGGCAGCTGCAACGCGATTCCGACGTTATGAAGCTCATGCTATGGTGCATTCTTCCGTAATCAGTCTTCTTTGGTACAGCATTGTATATCGAATAGCCTTCGTCCACGTATTCAGTTCTCTCCGGCTTCAGATCCACTCTGGACGCGTGGAATTGCCTCATAGATTCGCTTCTCATCTCTTCCAGTTCCTCTGTTTTTATTGACAATTCGTGGCTTAATGTTTTTAGTTTTTCATCGCATTTCCTCTTGCACTGACTGAGAGCTTTCTGTGTTAACGCTAGCTGCTTTTCCAGAGATTCCACCTAGAACATACGTCTCGTATAATCTTCTTCCATGCAATTCTTCTATGCACTATATAGGAGTGAACGCGAAAGCAATCGTGCAAGCAAAGCCTTTAACCGCGAAGCATTATTAATTAATGTAAAATAGTGATGGTTTTTGGATATATTATCTTGTTAGAGTTACTGACAACCATTAATATTTTTTAAAACGCATCCCGCGGTATTAAAAAGCTATTCCCATTTTTTAAAACATAAATAACAACACCGAAGCTACCCAATGACACAAACTAAGTACTGAATTCTACTTGAAATGCTAAAGTTAAAAAAAACATAAATGTATTACGTTAAGATATAAATGTAACAATACACGCAACATCTAATTATTTTGAATTTAATCTACAATACTACTTTTAGGGCCTGTCCCACCGAATAGTAAATTGTCTGATAAAAATCGTACGTGTTAAATGTGTGAAGGAATTATCGGATTTTGTTCCCTTATCTGACAGTGACGTCATTTTTAAGCTATCTGAGCCTCTATCAGTCAGTGGTGGGACAGGCCCTTACTCTAATAATTTTAACTTTATGGTTTCAAAACACAGTTAATTTTTTAAAATTATTTTCTATATTACTTTCCTAATCAAAAGATAAATGTAATTTTATATTCCATCCGTCCATTTATTGACAGATATGTCTTTTAATACATTTTCAACAAAAAGTGCCTTAAAAATCATAATCTTACCTCCTCCCTCAATTCACTATTAGTCACTTCTAGTTCTTGGTTGTTCTTGCACGCTCTGTTCAGTTCTTTCCTGATGCAGTCCAGGTCCCCAATGAAGCTGACCTCGGACTTGCGCGACACTTCTTTGTGACTCTTTAAATCCTCGTCCAACTGCTTGTTCATTCTGCGCAGTTGGTCTATCTCCCTCTGTGAAGGTTTCAAGGAAATTCATTAAATTTGCGAATTAACTAAGTCAATATTGTATTAGACACGAGAAACATCAGATATTAGTATGGATGTAGATAAGTAAATCTATAAAGAGATCAAGAAGGGAGTAATAACTGAGATGATGAAATATATTTTTACTTCTATATTTCTATACTTATTATAAAAAATACTTCATTGTTGCCTAAGATGTCAGCAATTACAGCATATTTTTGAATAATTATTTTTTTATAAAGAGCCCTACAATTGTGTCACGCTTTAGGCTATATATTTTCACGCCATTAAACTTAGGGTGTAAATATTTTGGATAAAATCCCTAATGTGAGAAAGAGACCATAAGTTGCTACCAACATGAAGGAAACAAGATTGCCAAGGTTTGATATGTCATGTCAGTTTGACATTTGCTATTGACAATTTGACAAATGTGAACAATGAAATAAAATTTTCATAATTTACTGCGGATAAAGCCGCACGGGAACAGCTAATATAATAAAACGTAAACGTTCTTACGGTGAAGGAAAACATCGCGATGTCTGAACATATCGACGAAAAAACTAAAAGATGTGTGAAGTCAACCAACCCTCAGTGCAGCGCGGTTGACTATGTGCTAGTCACCCCTTAGGGCCTACCCTAAGGGGTGATGAAACCTATTCTGAGCACATCGGTGGGGACGTATAGTGAGCTGGTGAAGATAATGATGAAAATTATGTTTCTTACCTTAAATTTGGCATCAAGAGCTTTAAAAGCGGCTTCAGATTTGCTCGCGTCTATCTCTGCTTTAGTGCAGGCGGCGCTGAGGCTGGCGTTGTGCGCCCGCAGCGCGCGCGCGTCCCGCTCAGACTTCTCCAGCGAGATGCGCAGCGCGGACTCCGACTCTTCTACCTCTCGCAGCTTCTTCTTTAGCGGCTCTATACTCTTCTTGTTCTGCTCCTTCTCACTCTCTAATTTTTTTATCTGGAATTTAACGTTTCATAGTGATTGAATCTTTTTGTATACGAATCGATTTGTTTTAACTATTATTAATACTATCCTATCCTAAACATATTAAAAACGAAATTGAATTTGAACACAGAAAAAGAAAATTAATCAAAACGGGGGATTATGCTTGCACTTAAGGATTTATTTTTGATAGAATACAAATATTAAGATTTTAAAAATTCTGTGGTTACAGGAGGTCAATTTATTCTTTAATTTAATACTAATATTATAAAGAGGGAAGATTTTTTGAATGTATTTTTGTATGAATTGGAATAATTCAAAAACCACTGGGCCGATTATCGGGTTTCTACCACAAGAAAGCTTATTTATCTGTGAATAACATATCGAGTTTAAATACATACCGTTCCCTTGAGGTGCGTCTCCGTGGCGCGGGAGTCCTGTATCCTCTTCTTGTAGCCGCCCTCCATCTCGGCCCACATGTCGTCGGCCTGCGCCAGCATCTCCAGGTAGGCCGCCTCGCGCCGCTCCAGCTCCGCCACGCGCGCGCGCAGCTCCTGCTCGCTGGCCGCCAGCTGCTGCAGCCGCGCGCTCGTGCCCACGTCCATCGGCTTCTGCGAAATGTTACAATTATCATCATCATCACATTAAACAAAACAAAATTATAAGCAAAATACAATAATGAACTGTAACAATTGACTAAAACGGTTTTGTAACTATATCTATACTATTATAATAAAGCGTAAACACACACTACTTTGTTGCCTAAGATGTCAGCAATTACAGCGTATTTTTGAAAAAATCTTTTTTTAATAAAGAGCCCTACACTTACGTCACGTTTTAGGCTATATATTTTCACGCCATTAAACTTAGGGGTAAATATTTCGCATAAAAACCCTAATGTGGGAAAGAGACTATAAGTTGCTGCCAACATCAAGGAAACAAGACTGCCAAGGTTTGTCATGTCATGTCAGTTTGACATTTGCTATTGATAATTTGACAAATGTAAACAATAAAATTGAATTTTCATAATTTTATGCGGATGAAGTCGCACAGGAATAGCTAGTTAAGTATAAGCATAAACGTTACAATAAACTCCATATTGTAAACTAATCTATATCTACTTCTTTATACTAACACTGGCAGCCTCCTTCTCTTCTTTTACTTTCTTCTCCAACTGCTCTATCCTTTCTTCTATCCTCTCGCGCTTCACGTCGGCCCCGCACTCCGCGGCGCTGCGCTGGCGGCGCGCGCTCGCCAGCTGCTCTTCTAGAACTCTCACTTTCTTCTCGAACGAATCCTTCACTGCTTTCGCCTTCTTCTCTAACTCACTCTTCTCTTCTAATAATCTGTTTTAGAAATGTAACTATTAGTCGTGATTATCGTGATTTATAATGACCTATGGAATGTATTCAATTTTGTGTACAATTGGAGAGTCTAAGAATGTTAAACTCTAAAGCTGTTATTTAGCTTTATGTAAACGAGACTTGAGTAACAACTTTTATGTTATCATTTTTATATTACGCAACAAATAACTACCCAATTGATTATTTGTTAAAAGTGTCGAAGGAAATTTATAACACCGCCAATTTTCTCAGTTGTACAAAAGTGCATTACAGAAATATTAGTATAGATATAATTAAACGAAATGATTTCCACGTATTAAGATAGATGTGTGATGTGACAAGAATGAATACAGTAAAGAATTTGTATATTAGAGGAAATTTGAAAGTAGCGCCAGTGGTGGAGAAATTGAGAAGCAAAAGGTGGTAGGGACATGTTATGCGACGAGATGATGGGGACAAAACAGAAAGTGTTAAGACTAAATGTGAATGGTTACAAAGGTAGAGGAAGACCGAAGAAAGTATGGATGGATTGTGTGGAAATATGCTTAAGAAGGGAGTGGAATTAGATATGACGGCTGATAGAAATGTATGGAAGAGCTGTGCTGATAAGGGCAAGTTGATGATGATGATTTCTACATATATTAACTTACAGATTGATCTGCGTCTCCAGAGTGGAGGTGAAGGGGTTGCAGTAGGGCAGCAGCGCGTCGGCGCTCGTCGCCTCCTTCCTGAAACCGGCGATGGCCGACTTCTTGTCCTCACTCAACGGGCCCATGCGGGACATTAGCACACGCTAGAAAAAATCCGTCACAAATGAATACTTTGATACATTTTATTTAAAACTGAACTATTTTTGAAACATCAATAGTCTAATGTTTCAGGGAATCCGATCTAGAGATCATGGTTACGGTTTCGAATCCCAGAATTCGAGTATTGTCGTATCGCCTACATCCTAACACATACTTTTTAAAACATACTTAGAATGATTACCAAAAGTATTGGGAAATCAAGAAAAGTCTACTGACATTAAAAACAAACAAAATTTCTTTAATAACGCAATATCAGCCTTACAAATAAACGCGGTATAAAATTAAATTTTGAAATAAACTGTATATAAGCAAATATTACTACAAATTTTTGCATATACTCTGTTTATTCCTAAGTGTAACTTTATACCTTTGCATCTATTTGTAAGGCTGTATAACTTGTGAAAGACAAGCATGAATCGGCTTTTAATAGATTGTAAAATATAGATTAACAAAGTAAATTTAGAAAAATCATGCCTCAACATTCAATATATGAATGTAGAGACCTGTAAAGGTAGAAAGGTAGATGGAAAGAAAGTACTGGAGGACTAAAACCTGACAACCAAACCCTATAGAATATATGAGAGTGAATTTATTGAGTGTTTTGTGAGAATGTGTTGAGAAAAATAACCTTTCCGTTAGGTGAGAGCTGCGCGTCGAGCGCCTGCATCACGTTCCACACGATGAGCGCCGGCACCGCGCGCTCCAGCCCCTGCAGCCGCGACGTCAGCTCGCTCTGCGGCACAAACACTTCAGATAACACCAAAACATATATTCTATACTAGCTTTCGTTCGCGACTCCGTCCGCGTGGAATTAAAAAAACAAAAGGGAGTAGACTATGTGTTCTTCCAGACTGTCCTCTACATCTATACTATTATAATAAAGCGTAAACACACACTACTTTGTTGCCTAAGATGTCAGCGATTACAGCATATTTTTGAATAATTATTTTTTTTAATGAAAAGCCCTAAACTAACGTCACGCTTTAGACTATATATTTTCACGCCATTAAACTTAGGGGGCAAATATTTTGGATAAAAACCCTAATGTGGGAAAGAGACCAATAAGTTGCTGCCAACATCAAGGAAGCAAGATTGTCAAGGTCATGACATGTAGTTTTGACATTTGCTATTGATAATTTGACAAATGTAAACAATAAAATAAAGTTTTTACAGTGTCATGCGGATGAAGCCGCACGAAAACAGCTAGTATGTAACAAATTTACTGAAATCCGTTCAGCCGTTTAGGCTACAAACTCTAACAAACATCCATCCATCTAAACTTTCGCATTTATAATATTAGTTAGAAGTTAGATTAGATTATCCTTATAATCTAACTGATAAATGATCTAACGGCCACCTGAATACAATGAAAAGGCGAAACGACCGTTGCATAGACATCCACAATTGCATACACGCTTGTCTTATGTGATTGTGGTATTGCATTATTGCATAGCGACTCTGATGTACGAAAATGTTAAAGTGGGCTCTACCACTGTTAGAACTTTATGTAAGAGTGAAATATTAGTAATTTATCGACAATAACAGTGTATACGCAACGTAGGAGACATTTGATTGACGTTTTAGTTACCGTAAGCCAAATTCTCAGCCTTTGCTTCTCCGTTTTTTAGTTACATAAGTTATTTATAGTGTTGATTTTCTGCCACCAATAGGTAGTTATTTAACAATTCGTATGTAATTCGAATAACATTCTTTGAATTGTCAAGAAATTACCATAAAACTATTATCATAAACCATAAATGAGGTGTCCCTTTTGCACTACTCAACTATCCTTGCGACCTACATAGCAGTGAAAGATGATTGCTACAGACATGGCATTTTCAATGTCGCTTTGTTATTATGTATCGTGTGTTGTATTTATTATTAAAATTAGTGCTTACCTCTCTGGCCTTAAGTGCGCACTCTCGCTGGCTGAGTTCCGCCATCAGCCGCTCGGCCTGCGCCCGCGAGCACTCGCGCTGCTCAGTCATGTCGCGCAGCTGCGCAGTGCACAACTCATAGTCCATCTCTAGTCTGAAAACACGAATATCCTATCTATAGTCAAATCCACAAATATCTTATCAAGAACTTCGTTAGGAGTGAGTATTCCCTTAGACAAAGTAACATTTGGCTATGGCATCGCTGATCGACTAATCAAAAATGTTTGGAACTGACAATAACATTCGTTAAGTGACAAGCTTCACATTATTCATTTCTATACATTTTGACAAATTCAACAAGCGACATCGCTAATTGTAAGGATCGATGGATGGATGTTTGTTAGTGTTTGTAGCCTAAACGGCTGAACAGATCTCGATAAAATTTGACATACAAGGATAGTCTGGAAGAACACATAGGCTACTCACTTTTATTATTTTATTCCACGCTGACGAAGTCGCGGGCGAAAACTAATAATAATATAAAATTATAACAAGCTCCATCTTTTGTCATAAAAAAAAACTGAATATGATTTAGTGACACCTATTGGCAATTCATTTAAATAATTACATTGACATGCTGTTTTGAGATTTTATTAATAGATAGGGTAAGCATGTAAAAATTTCTCAAGTGAAATGTCAACTACGCTTTATCCATTATTTTAATCTCTGCGTAAACCATATCCTATCACAGACTTGAAGAGCTGGGGTATAACTTACTGTTGCCAGTGCAATCGCGTGTCATTCTCGATCTCCTCCAGCTCACAGCACTCCTCCTCCAGCCGCTCGTACTTGTCCTGCAGCTCTCCTAGCTCACTCTCCAACTCCTGCACACAACATATATCAGTCTTTACAAGAAAAATGTACGTAAATGGCAGAAAATCTGAAAAATATAAAACGTACTACAGGAATTATTCAAACGTCCTGGAATAAGTTTTACAAACGCTACTGCCATCGTCAAGCTAAATCGAAACCAAATTGAGGATTATCAAAAATGTTTAAAAAAATCCATAAACTAGCGTAATCTACAATCTATATCATAATTGTGACAATAAAAATGACTAAGATAGTCAGATTAGTAATTCAAATAAAAGGTTCCAACCCAAATTGTTAGTGGCCACTAGTTAATACCCAGTCTCGAAATATAACAGTAAATATGACGTCACAGAATACGTCACGTTGACCGGAAGTGCAGTGAACCTATTGTCTCTACCTTCATATGGATATCCGGAATAATTCAATACTTCATTAACTTGCTTGGTAATGTCTACGCCTAACGTGACACTTGCTAACAAAGTTGGTACTACATTTAAAATTGAATAACACATTTATTAGACTAGCTGTTGCCCGCGACTTCATCCGCGTGATATAAAAGAATCATAAATATAGCCTATGTTACTTAGTGATAACGTAGCTTTTTTGATTTTGAGAGAATTTTTGAAATAGGACTATTAGTTTTTGAGTTTTTTCAATACATAATAACAAATATCTTCTATTTATTATTATAGAAATATAGATGACTAGCTTTTGCCCGCGACTCCGTCCGCCCGGAATAAAAAAAAAACAAAAGCATATAGCCTATGTGTTCTTCTAGACTATCTTCTACATCTATGCCAAATTTTATCGAGATCCCTTTAGCCGTTTAGGCTACAAACTCTAACAAACATCCATCTATCCATCCATCCATCCATCCATCTAAACTTTCGCATTTATAATATTATTATAGTAAGAAGTAAGATTAACTATACGTGGAAATAACACAATGTCAAATCTTAAACAAAGGCGCTAAATTCAAAAAGCTATAGAATTGTCTCTTCTAGAATCTTTACACAATGACATTGGATGCTTTTATTATCCTAAGACAATGTAGAATACATCACAACGTTGATATCATGTCGTGATCTAAGATACTGTGTATTTGATATGCGTCATAATTATAAACAGTCTACTATGTCTCATTAACGTTTATACAAAGCTTATTAGCAACAAAATAAAGAAATCAATAATATTGAAGATTGTATAGTAACCGCCTTTGATTTGGCACGTACGGAGCAAGAATACTCTTCAGTCTAACGTGCCAACTCAAGACTTGTGTGTTATAAGTCGTAATTTACTCACCTGTATTCTATTTTCGAGTAGAAACTCTTTCTGTAGCCTCTGTGCTAGCTTAGCTTCCTTAACGTCCTGCGCCGCTTCGTATATAGATATCTTCCCTTCTAAAAACTTTAATCTCCTCTCGTAATACTGTTTGTGTTTCTTCCCCAACTTCACACACCTGCACTCTAGTCCTTCCCCGTCCTCTTTAGTACTTAATGTCCTATTTCTAACTCCTTGCCTCTCTAATTTCTCTCTAATACTATTCAGTCGTTGTATTTCAGTGTTCAATTCGCCACTGCATTCGAAGCTATCGTTGACGTCAGTTTGAGTACTTTTGCATTCAGTTTCAATGCCTTCGAATATTCCACTTTCTTGCAGTAAATTTATTGGTTTCCTCTCCTCTATGCAAAGGCTTTCGAGTGATTCACTCTTGCCTTTCTGCTGGTACGGTGTAACTGTTGCGATCGCTTTATGGGTTTTGTGCAATGGACTGTCTGTTTCTTGTTTTGTTTTCAGATCGCTGATTCTTTTTGGTTTCGTCTGCGGACACGGTTAATTTCTTTTGAATTGTATGTAAATAAAATGTATCGGATGGTTGGGTTTGTGACAATTACGGGATGTGAAATGTTGTCAATATGACACGTGGAATTTTTTTAAAAAGAAATATTATATAATGGACTTATTGAAGAAGTAAATTATTCAACAATGGATTTTATATCTCCTACTTTAAGAATTCATAATTTTAATTAGATTTCCTATTGCAATGAAATAAATGAAATAAATGAAATTAAAATGAACCTGATAACATTCATCTTCACTGACAGAACTGCTAAGGGCTTGGTAGTTGTACAACAGCATTAAAACCTGCTCCAAGCAGCCTCTGTCCTCCGGCGAGGCGGCATTCAATATCATCTGCTCCAAATGATCCTTCACTGGGTTGCTTCTCAACGAGTCACTGGTCTCGGAGTTCCTGTCCAGGATTTCCGCCAGGACTTGTGCTTTAGCGAAGTCCTCCTTGAAGTCATCGTGTGGGGTGGCGAGGTGCCGTCGTGGGTTGCAGGGGCTGCTTGGCACCTGAGGGGACTTGTACCCTGAATCCATTCGCTTGAGTTCCGGCGACGCGGAGTCCTTTATCCGGGAGCCGGGGGACACGCAGCCCGAATCCGAGTCGGTTAGGTTGTCCCTAGCACCCTGGAAAGGAAAAAATCAAAATTAAACAACGATAATACAAAAAATATATTTCTACTTTTTAACATAAGCGACCGCTGTCCATAGACATTCGCGATAGCAGATATGTTGCCTACTTTTTTATCTGCGGAGGAGGGTACACATAGGAAGAGGAAATATCCTCATCTCCTCCTCTTCAAAAAGTCAAATCTTTAAGAGACAAGTGAAGGCTGAATTTACACTCAAAATGTAACGGTGATAAGTACTTATATATACGAGTATTAATTTTAAAACAAATAGAGCAAATGTCTTTAGACGACAGGACCTTGGAAGTTAAAGAAGCTAACATTAATCTAGTTAGTTGGGCCGTCACGAACTACTTTAGATATTTCATACTAGTTCACATAAATACAGTCTAATTAGATTTCATTTCAATCCTCTTGCCTGCGCGAATGCAATATGTTACAAACAAGACATTCACTTCATACGTTAATTAGTGCATTTGAGAACGAGTTGCAAAAACAATTTTACGGTTAACGATTAGCTATATCGCGAGATAAAATCACCAGGCTAGCGGTAAGGAAGTAGTTTTTTCCTATCTGTGTTTAACAAGTTTTAACCTCACAATGTCTTTAACGAGGTCGATATTACTCTACGCTACACATTTATATCTCATTATCTTTATGTCCTTTGTAGAATTCCGATTTCCATACATACTAGTACATATATCATACTAATATTATAAACGCAAAAATGTGCACGTGTGTGATGAATCTTCACAACTGATTAACATTAGCAAAGACACAGTCTGGAATAACATTTAGGTTACTTTATAAGTTTTTTTTTAAATCAACGAAAGATAGCACTTCTATATAGGTATCTTTAGGTATTATTTAAGAGTCTTCTGCATTAATTGTTTAATTACGTCAGTATATTGCCCTCAATATACGTAACTGATACCTTAGATGCAACAAGCTTAAGTGTGAATCTATCGCGCAAACTGGTAGCACGGAAGACAGGCGACAGAGCGAGACCGAAATGCTACGATAGATTCTGGCTATACCTCACTGACTGTGAACTGGACGCGAACCAGTTGAAAGATAAACTCAATAGGATTTGAGCTTTTAGTCTGAGAAAACAAACAAGGAAGAAAATCTGAGATTTATTTTCTTTTTCGTTTCTTGCCTGTATTCTAAATGCAACACATATATGTTTTGTGTTTAGTTTGTGGTTATTTATAGTATTATCTTGTTATAACCTTGGTGCTGTATTCATTACTAGAACGCCTGTGACTCCGTCCCCGCGAAATTAAAAAGACAAAAGCAAAATAGCCTATGTGTTCTTCCAGACTATGCTCTATCTATGCCTTTCATCGAGATCTGTTCAGCAGTTTAGACTCTAAACTCTCAAATAACATCCGTCTAAACTTTCGCATTTATAAGAATGTTTATATAATATTTGTAAAATCTATTCAGCGTTATACACGGAAGATTCAATTGTCTACAAATTACATTTCTTTCTATGTAAGATTGATTCATTGTTTTTGTAAGTGCACCTTCGAGTACTATCAAGGTATTTCTGTAGACGTTTAATTCACAGTTTGTCTTTTGTTATTTAGAGGACGTTAACGCTTCGTCGATTACAAACAAAGTATTACTTGACCGACCTTAGGAAATAAACAACGTGCGTAGAAAAATCTGTTGTAGAAGTAGAGATTATATTACTAAAAAAAACAGTGGTTTTATTAAGTTTCCCCTTGGGCAGGGGACTGGTGTCCAAACTAGGGTGGCGCCCTGTGTGATGGATCACCAGGCCCCCTCTCCACAGACCACAATGAATCTTACAATAACAGAAAAAAATAATGATTGCAAAAATTTATTTCAGATATAATGCACATTTTTATTAGCATTTAAACAATAATCTAACAATACTAAAATTACTAAAAAGTCTTATTATTCTGCAGCGAAGAAAAATAAAATATTTTACAGACATCTCAACTCGCATTCAATTTTAGTACAATCAATGAAAACTGCGCAGAAAAACCAACAAAGCGTAAAAACCTTGTGAGATATCCTTTCGTTAGAATGTACGTAACCTTCCAGCATCACGTTTAAGTTGACTCCCACACTTGTTACGTCACAACTTAACTGGACACATAAAGATATAGATTAGTCTCCTAATGAGGAAACATAAGTTTCTAAGCCTTTGACTTTAAAGAGACAGGACCTGTTAAGCGCCTGCCAAGTCAAGTCAACTCTACCAAATAAAACTAGCAATTAGTACTAAATTGGCTTGTTTGTTCATTTTGTGTTTAAAAAACGTATCAATTTTACGCGTATGCATGATATGTACATACGTAATTGTCATCTGTTCGACACCCTCGCTAAGGGCAAGTTTTATTTGTGACGGCTCTGCCTAGTCCGATTCTAAATACTCAAAGATCACAAGCTTTTGTTTGTTAGCAGTGTTAGTTATGGTCATGGTAACTAAATGCCTACTCACATGAACTAAGCATTCCTTATTTTGATATTTTTGTAACATATTACTTTACGTAGATGATGTCATATTGCTGCATTGTTTTATTTTTATGGCAAACGATTGGCTTATCTAAATAATCCACATTAAGAAAATGTAGACATAATTACAAAGATACACATGTTTTTTTTGCAAACGAACAGCGGGAATATCAAAATATACATCGATCTCTGAGTCATTTAACTAGATAATAAAGAACCTCTAATGGAGATTTCTGGTACTAATGCATTATTAAACTCCATTTAACCAAGAGATGTCTCTGAGTAGGAATGTTAGAGTATACAGAGAGATTTTATTTTAAAAACGCCACACCTATTGGATTCACTAAACTAACTTGCGCAATATTTAGTCTCAAGGCGAAGCAAACGACGCACTTTAAATTTCAAAATCGTGCCCAACCTAATGTGTGCATGTCAGATTCTTTTAATGTCTCTACTTTTATTCCTATTTTGTACAATTTCTTTCGTATGAGAGAATTAAATTCATTCACACTAACCTCCATAATTTTAGAATTTCCTTGATGTTACTTGATAAATTAAAAACACGAGAATCAATGTTTTTCAGAATGTTTTTGTTTCTCGTGTTTTTGTTTGTGTATGTCGTCGATGTGTTTTTTATATGTTTATCCGAAGTATATAAGAGAACATTATGTTTCTGTCCATGTGTCTTAGCAATGGAAACTCGGTAATGTTAGAACTGACTCCTGTAACTGGGTCAGAGCATTGCTAATTGTATTAAAGCAGCCTGATCCAGTCTTTTCAATGCCAAGGGTCATTTCATAAGCAGCCCGTCTCAAAAGTTAAAGGCCTTAGAAAGTAGATTTTAATCTTATTCATTATATCTACTGCGGCTTTGTTTATGATTTACGACATTATAAATCAACACGTATTGTGCACAGAGTTTATTTCAAAACTATATTATAAAATACTGCAAAAAAAAAATACTATTCACGCACGATAATATTAAAAGTGACACTTGAAACTAAACTATCGCACAACTGTTTAGTCTTCTTTTAATTCCTATGAGGTTATATAGAGGTGCACACACTAATCGATTTTTAATTGTGTGACTAAACAGTTGAATTGGCTGCGAAACAATCGACAATCGCAAAATAGTTATTGGATAGTTTAATCAAAGGCACCCGCTAGTAACTCAGATTCGATGACGTCATTGAAGACTTCGGTGTGTTCATCACACTCATCTATCAGACTATTCAACGTAAACATCATGATTATAATAAATATATTAAAACAATATGACACAATATTTACATTCCATAGCATGGTTGCACCGTTTATAGGTAGATTAGCTTTCGCGCGCGACTTCGACCGCGTGGAATAAAAAAAAAATTAAGTAACCTTTGTGTTCTTCCAGACTATCCTCTACATCTATACCAAATTTTATCGAAATCCATTCAGCCGTTTAGGCTAAAAACTCTAACAAACATCCATCCATCTAAACTTTCGCATTTATAATATTAGTATGAAGTACGATTTTCTTTGACAAGAGTCACTGAAAGATGGTTGATATTATACTTAGATATAATTCGATAAAATCGATTACTATAAGATATTTGGATATTTTATCTGTGTGAGTAGTAAAACTTTTATCTAATCAGTATTTTCTCTGTCTACAGTTTAATTGATGTATCACGTAATTTCACATAATATCCGCAATTATTTGGCTAACGACTTACGTTTATGTGGGTTTTACACTTCATAAATATCTGGTTATACCATTTCCTAAGTTATATTAGTTTGATATAAATGAAAATGTTAAGTTAATGTGAAATAATACACTAATGTTAAGTATGACATAGTTTCTGCATATTGCTGTGTCGACCTTCTTATAGCGCACTATCTCACGCCTCAGGAATGTTAGGCGCGCTAATAAACTATGCTCAAGACACAATGAACGAACAGGTAAGATTCGATTAAGCACGAAACTTATGAGATAATTCGATAATATTTCAGTTTGAATTTACTGTCAGTAACTCAACATGTGAGATTTCAATCTAGCAAGTATTATTTATTGGAAAATTCCCGCAACATCGTCTACGTAAAGGTCTTCGAGTCTTTTAAGGTTTCATCTTTCTTAATACTTTACTAATCCCTAGCAAAATTTTCACTTATGCTATTATACATGGAAATTTAAAAATACAACACCAAAAGCATCACTCAGAAGGGAAAATAATTGAGTAAATATTCACAGTTATCAAATTTGCTTTAAAAGCCACATAGAACACTGGATGCAGTGCTCGGAGTCATAAGTGCCTTCCCTTAATGGACACTAAGATGCTCTATTAGCGGCAACATGACTATGAGTACGGCGTTAAGATCGGAAACTTATGTCTTAAAAAGTTTAACGTACCTTCTCCGGGTGTGCGTCTTCTAGCTCAAGCAGACGGAACTCCATTAGTTCGAGCTGGTCGCGCGCGTCGCGCAGCGCGTCCGCAAGCCGCGCGCTCTCCGCCGCCGCAGCCGCCGCGCGCGTCGCCGCTACCCGGCACTCGCCACACGTCTACACACACGAAGCGCACACGCCTTACTGACACTGACAGCTACGATACACTACGTCACGGGGGCACTACACATAGGGGGTATTATCGCGAGGATTACGCCACTAAACACTATCATGTAGAACCATGATATACTACGCGTGCAGAGTACTACGCACCGCAGAGTACTGGCGACTGTGGCCACAAGTCACGCGACGGCCGCAGCGGAGGGGATATTGCGAGAATTATATCTTAGCGATACTAAAATAAGGCACTTATATTTAATCTTTAAACATGCAAAAGTAATTTCGTTTATAGAATGGTAAACGACAAGTGCACGAGTGTACTTCGCACATGCGTTTACTGTAGCCACGATAAGGTGATAGTAAAAAAAATAGATAGTGGTGGGACTCCTTATGTATTGCCCATATTATATATTTATAATATTATAACAATTAACGTTTATAAACATATTGATTTACAATGGTTAATATAAAAAGCAATAATAGATAAAAGATAATAATATAATAGAAATGGTTAAGGACATAAACAGTAAAGATCCTCAAGGCGCCACTTTACAAGGCACTCATGGCGTTAGGACGTCCACGATTTAGTCGTAGCATGGGAATTCTTCGAGTCAGTATACAAACTTTTTTATAGGTTACGTAACTAGGGTATAGCATAAAAATAACAAGATGAAAAAAGTAAGTTCTAAATTGTAAATTAGATTGGAATTACAAACGGCGTTTTTCCTTTTAGCTACACATTGCAAAAATGTTATTCAATATCCGACAAAATGTTTAAAGGAGGGAAAAACTGGAGATGGCTCCATCGACAAGGACACAGTCCTTAAATAGGCTTAGTCCTTAAATATTATGATACTCGTGCGCAGGTTCGCCAATAACTCCCATCCTAGCACCAAATAAGCGTGACGTCATACCACCATCGATATAGCACACGAGTCCTAAACAAATCTGTCATGGTTACCCTACACGACAATGGATTGCAAGTTATGACGCAAGACACAGCATAGTTAACTATGCGACAACGTGTTTATACGATCATTGCAATGCTGACATTTTAACTGTTAAAATGATGCGCACATATTACTCTATAGGCACTAGTCCAAGGTCGATGTGCCCGATACAGTATTTCTTACTAATGGAAAAGAAACTTCGATTATATCGATTGAACTATAACAATATGAAATTATAACATGCCCTTCCTGTTATTTTATATCTGGTAATTATTTTACATACCTGAGTCACGTAAAGTATAAATATTTATCATTGCCTTACGCCTTTTACTTAAACATATTCAATGGACGTACTGCGATGTGAAAATCTACTAAGGATTTGTAGAAAATATTTACCTGTCTTGACTTAGTTGAGAGCAAATTAATAAAATCTCCATTAAAAGTAAGTAATGTCACTAGTAATTAGTATGTTGGGTATTCTATTAGAAATTTATTGATTTTGTAATCGTAGTAGATTGTTGTAATATGCACAAAACTATTAAAAATGACGTATAGAAGTCCTCACTGCGACTAGCTATTGTAGAAATGAGAGGTACCAATCCAGGGTGTAAGATAACAGGGGAATTATTAACCTCAATTTTATATTCAATGTTTATGTTTTGAATTGAATATATTGATGAATCGATTAACTCTGGTGTACTCACCCACATGTCGGCGTGCGGCTGCGGGGAGAGGGAGGCGGGCGCGGAGGAAACCGCGGAATCCTCGTCCGAAGGCGCCTCCTAGAAGATGAATTAGAGATTCGCTTATTTTTACTTGAAAATAATTTTGGCGCTCTAATTCGATATTTGTCGCTTACCCTATAAAATGTTTCTTTTCTGTGCTGTATATCAGTTTTCAGATCTTCACGGTTGCTCTTTTCTTTAACCTGCAACAGAGGAAATACAATTTTTAACTAAATTGTTATGCTTTCCACATTAATTAGTAATTTCAATAACAATAGAAAAAAATTGCAGCAATAACGTGTCATAGAAAAATTGCTATTAGATTTTTACAGGCATTTTCTACATAA